TACACGAACAAATGAAACTAAGGATTCACGGGGCATATCCAGATAATGAGTAAAGTTCGATGATATATACGAATAAGTAGAACCAGGGTAAACTAATATAGAAGCTTTCCTGTGGCACACTGAGACAATACCTGTGATCATTGCATCTGAGGCAACGACATCTGGCCTAGTAGGAAAAACATAGAATCGGGCATGACTGCCACCTGATCGGCCTCCCCCTCTTGGGTGACCCCTAGCTGACTGACCCCCACCCCGAGCTGGTTGGGCGGGTGGTGAAGTAACTGGTGTTGAAGTTGTAGTCTAACTTCTCTGTTGCACTGGACCTCCTAAGCAACGAGGACATTGTCTCCACATATGCCCAAATTCCCGCAGTCAAAGTAGCTCCCTGGTACTGGTGGTGGTGCTGACTGAATTGGGCCCCGAGAACCAGAATAACTACTAAAGCACCTGGTGAAAATGAACCTAAACTGAAGGAGCACAGGACGAACTCTGGGCTGGCAGGGCACTGAGAGATGAGTGACCTTGATGAGAACTATATGAACCCTGGCTAGATGATTCACCACGGTGAACTGGACGACCCGTCCGAGCGTGTTTGTAAGGATGACCCCTACTGTGGTAAAACTGACCCCCGGAAGGAACACCGCTGAAATCACCTGGACCACGAGGCCTCTTAGCCTCCCTATCTCTACGCTCTTGGCTACGGACCATCTCTATCTGCCGAGCAATGTCAACTACCTCATCAAACGTAGCACCAGATACTCTCCCGAGTCATAAGTAACCGTAGCTGATATGTAAGGCCATCAATGAACCTCCTAATCCTCTCCCTATCAGTGGGAACCAACCAAATTGCATGACGAGCCAACTCAAAAAATCTCATCTTGTACTAAATCACAGACATACCATCCTGACGTAACTGCTCAAACTATCTGCGCAACACCTCTATGCAAGTCTACGGTACAAACTTCTCCAAAAAGAGAATAGATAATTCCTGCCATGTAAGTGGTACAACACCAACCGGCCTGCGCCTCTCATAAGTCTCCCATCATCTGAAGGCAGCTCCAGAAAACTGAAAAGTAGTGAACGAGACCCCACTGGTCTCCAAAGTACCCGCTATCTGAAGCATCCGCTGGCACTTATCCAGAAACCCTGAGCATCATCTGACTCAGCACCGCTAAATGATGGAGGTCGAATCCTCCCAAATCTCTCAAGTCTTCTCTGTTCATCATCTGCCATAACGTGGACTACTGGGGCCTGAACAGCTGTTACCGGCTGGGCTGGTAGTGCCCTCGGTATCTGAAGTCCCTGTACCACCTGATTTGGAGTACGACTAACCGGGGTATGAGTACCTCCCCCAACCTAAGAAGTGATAGGTGCGTCCTGAGCCGAAACCACCTGAGCAAGGCCAGTGTAAATTGTCAATATCTGGGCCAAAGTCTCCTGAAGGCCTGGAATCTCAATAGGCACAGCTGGTGCCTGAGCTGGTCCTATCGGCTCAGCTATATCTGGAATCTGTTCCTGAGCTGGAGCAACTGGTGGTGCTACAGGTGTTGCTCCAACTGCTGTTCGAGCTACACCTCGACCTCTACCTCGGCCCCGGCCTCTACCACGGCCCGGCCTCTCGCGGCCCTAGCTGGTGGCACTAGTGGCTGACCGTCCGATCCGGTAGTACGTATTCTCACCATCTGTGAGAGAATAGAATAACAAAAATTTAGTTTCCGGAATCAACAAATTCGCACAACAGAGTACAAGAGATTGAAATTTTTCCTAAGGGTTCAGCAACCTTTCGAAGATAAGTACAGACGTCTCCGTACCGATCCGCAAGACTCTACTAAACCTGCTCATGACTCATGAGACCTATGTAACCTAGGCTATGATACTAACTTGTCACGACCCAAAATCCTAACCTGTCGTGATGGAACCTATCTCGATACTAGGCAAGCCGACAAACTCAATAAACCACAATTTCTTTTAAATACAAAAAACATCATAATTAAGTTTAAGAGAAAATCTCATAAATACCGACACACACACTCCCAAAACCTGGTGTCATTGAGTACATGAGCATATATACATTTCAAGTCTAGAAAACAAGGTCTATAATAATCTGAGACCAAGTACAATAAACAAAAGGATAGGGAAGGAGAGACAAGGTCTGCGAAACATGGCAGCTATCTCTGAATCTCCAAAAAATTGACTGTGTGAAAAAAATCAACACCCACTGTATCCGGGATCACCTGGATCTGCACACGAGTGTAGGGTATAGTATGAGTACAACCAACTCAGTAAGTAATAATAATAAATAAAAAACTGAAAGTAGTGACGAGCTTCTCAGCTAAGTTCAAATACAGTACTTTTCAATATAAAAGAGTAGGCATGCTTTCAAGTTCAACATTTAAGATTTCACTGAAATTTCATATCATATTTGACCGAAATAGAAAATAATATTTTTCCGAAATTTCCAAAAATAGTGATATATGACAGCTGAAATGCAGCAAATAATGAAATCAATGCATCCTCTCATAGTAACAGTCACTCAGTCCTCCCATTCACTCCAACCTCACAGTCACTCTTTCCTCACAATCACTCTTTCCTCACAATCACTCTTTCCTCATAGTCGCTCATTCCTCACAGTCACTCATCAATCGACACTCGGCACTCGCATTCAGTAGGTACCTGCACTCACTGGGGTGTGTACAGACTCCGGAGGGGCTCCTTCAGCCCAAGTGCTATATCAAGCCAATCATGGCATAAATCAATGAACATGCTGCAACGTAAAACCCGATCCATAAATATTCTCACAATTAGGCCCTCAGCCTCACTCAATCATCAACCTCTCCAGTCTCCCAAGCTCTCAGAAATCATGATAAGCAGCCCCACAATAATGATATGATGCATCAATAATGAATAAGAGAGACTCAGGTAAAAATGTGCAAATAGAACTGTAACTGTGTGCAAAACAATACTTTAGCCAATAATTTCACAAGTACACGACCTCTGTGGGTCCCAACAGTGTAAACATATGATTTAAACATGATTCATAGATCAATTTTTCTAATACGAGGAAAAAAGTACAGATATCAATAAATTTTTCAACTACACAGTTCCATGGAATTGACCAAGTCATAATTCCTACGGTGCACGCCTACACGCCCGTCACCTAGCATGTGCATTACCTCAAAACCAATCACATAAAACATCTTCCGGGGTTTCATACAATCAAGACCAAATTTAGATCTGTTACTTACCTCAAACCGTGTAATTCTTTATTCTGCAATGTCTTTGCCTCGTGAATTGGCCTCCAAACGCCTCGAATCTAGCCACAAATAATTCGATTCAGTCAATAAAATTTATTGGAATTAATTTCATAAGAAAATATTAATGTTTCATCAAAATCCAAAATTTAGCTCAAAACTCTCCCGTGGGGCCCATGTCTCGGAACCCGATAAAAGTTACAAAATCCAGAAGCCCATTCAATCATGAGTCTAACCATACCAATTTTAATAAAATCCGACCTCAACTCGACCTCCAAATCTTCAAATCTTATTGTCAAATCCATAAGTTCAAATCCCCGATTTACACTTAAAAAACATGTAATCTAGTCAGATTATTCGATGATAATTCAATATTATGAAGTAGAAATGATCACAAGTGACTTATCTCAAGATTTTCAGTGAAAACCTCGCTCAAAATCGCCCAGCCTGAGCTTGAAATGCCCAAAAATGGCAAAAGCTCGGAACTCCTCTGTTTTTGTACTGCCCAGGGGTTTTCGCTTCTGCGGGATTTTGTGCGCATCAGCGGACACACTTCTGCGAGGAGCTGTCCGCTTTGCAGATTATGTTTTCTTTCTCCATAACTGGTTGTGTTACTGCTAATGGTCGAGTATGTACTGATATTTATAGAGAAGGAGATCAAGGTTTGCATGGCAATCACGTGTTGATTCTTAGAACATGATTATGTAATTTATGGTGCTCAGCAGCAGTCAATATGATATTCAGTGAATTAGATCAAGTGATAACTGATATTATTTCAGTTTAATAATTGAATTTAAAAAATGAGAAAAAAGACAAAAGGTATATTATACTAGTTATATTAAAAAAAAGGTGAACAAATATTTACTATATCAGTTATTTTTTCTTATTGTATAAAATAAAGAATAATAAAAAATAGTAAAAATAGTAAATATAATTAGATTATGAAGAGAAAAAGAATATAAAAAAACAAGTTAAATGAAATTAGAAAAGGAAAAACGAAAAAAATAAGAAGAAAACGTGAAAAGAGAAAAGGAGAAAAGAAAGAAAAAAAGGAAAAAAGAAAAGAAAAGAAGCATTGAAATAAAAAAGTATTGGAGAAAAAAGAGAAAATTCCCCACAAAAACTACTATGGGTAGGAAATGTAATTAGTTTGATGGGTAAAAAAATAAATGGGTAGGCAAGGGTAAATAGTTTTATTTTTGTGGGTAACTGTGTCATTCTCCCTAGTTAAAATTTCAGGCCCACTATAATTTATTTGACTTGAAAATTTATATGTTTCGGTTTGGAGAATTTAAAGTTTACTATTGGCATAGTTGTATATATTTTGAGATAAATAAAGTCGAAACTTGATGTTGCCAAAGTGACTTCTCTTCTGAAGATTTATTTATTTTGGAATATAAAAGGTTGTGTATGTGTAACCTATGTGAATATTGATCGGCCCAAAGGAAGTTCAATATTTAACAGAATTGTATGTGCATTCTTGTGGTAATAAACACATGATTATTATTTGGTTTTACGTGTAAATAATAATTCGGTCCAAAGGAAGATTTACTATTCGACATGTTCTTTATTGTCAGTGTTTGATTACTACACCAAGATACCACTCACAAGTTCATATTTTTTCCAAAGATGAAAAATTAATGGAGTGACCGGTACCTTGAGATGGGGTTTACCTTTATTCAAATTTATTTTCATTTTGATTTTAAGTATATGTAAGCTTATTTTGTTATTTATTGTTCTCTGATTTAGCTGAAATTACTCCTGCAAATATTACTGCCAACAACAATTCAATTCCTTTGTTGAATGTCACTAACTTCAAGTCATGGTAAGAGTATCTCAACATAGTTCTCGGAGTTATGGATCTCGATCTCGCGTTAAGGATTGGTTCTCCACCACCTCTTAGAGATAAGAGTACCTCTAATGAAAAGAGAGATATGGAAAAGTGGGAGATATCAAATCGCATGTGTATGATGATCATGAAGAAAGCCATTCCAGAAACATTCAGGGGCACTATGTCCGACAAGGTTAAGACGGCTAAAGAGTTTATGGCTAATATTGAAAAAGTATTTGTCAAGAGTGAAAAGGCTGAAATTGGTACACTCTTGACAAGTCTGATTTCAATGAGGTATCAAGAAAAAAGTAACATCAGGGAGTACATCATGCGAATATCTCATCTTTTTTCTAAGTTGAAAGCACTTAAGTTGGACTTCTCTGAGGACTTGCTAGTGCATTTGGTTTTGATATCCCTTCCACTACAATTTAGTCAGTTTAAGGTGAGCTATAATAGTAAGAAAGAGACTTGGTCTCTAAATGAGCTCATCTCACACTGTGTCCAGGAAGAGGATAGACTGAAGCAGGAAAAGATAGAAAGTGCTCACTTAGCCGCTGTACCTAAGGACAAAAGGAAATACATGAAGAGAAATAATAAGGAAGCCGTGGATACAACAACACAAGAGAAACAACATTATGAACCAATTACATATGGTTGTTTCTTTTGTCAAGCTGCAGGTCATAAAAAGAAGGATTGTACCAACCATCATGCATGGCGTGCAAAGAAAGGTACACCTCTTAATTTTGTTTGTTCTAAGGTTAATTTGATTTCGGTACCAAGACATAGATGGTGGACAGATTCTGGTATAATAACTCACATCACTATGTCTATTCAAGGTTGCCTGAACTATCGAAAGCCTAATGATGGTGAAAGATACATCTACAATAGTGACAGCAAGTCGGTGAAAGTCGAAGCAATTGGAACTTTTAGATTATTGTTAAGAACGGATTTTATTTGAATTTGAACGACACTTATGTTGCACTATTTTTCTTGGATGGAATTTGATTTCTGTTATTATATTAGATAAGTTTGGTTATTTTTATGAAGAAAACAATTAGTCTCTTTCATAATTCAAAATTGGTTGGTCCCGGTTCTTTATTCGGTTATAATAATCTATGCTTACTTGATATGATTGTTTCGTTCAATGAACATTGCATGTTAACATAACTGGTAATAATGGTAAATTAACCATCCAGTAGTCAGTTTCTTTATGGCACGAGAGAATAGGTCATATCTCTAATGGAGAATTAAAAGACTTCTGTCCAATAATAGTTTCTAGGCAGAATACATTGATTGCCCCTTAAAGTTATCATCTCTTTTCACTTAGACACTCTATCTTAAGTTTGATCCATTTGAATCCAAGGCTTTATTGTGTCATTTAGACACAAAATTCGTAGGCAGCCAAACACAAAAGTTGCGTGTAATTCACACGCCATAGTGACGAATAAAATGAGGACATGTAGATTTAACTTTTAAAAATTAAAAACAGTTTGAAAATAAAATAAAATATAAAAACAAGGACCCACCCCACCCATCGTCATCTTCTCCAATGGACTAGTCATCAACCATGTTTGCTCGATCTCTGAAATTTTCACCAGCTTCCACCTTGAGCAAATTCTGTTCCATCAAGATTCTTTCCCATGTCATTCCAAAAAGCTTGCAAAAGCTCAGATTATTTAATCGTCTCAAATGCCATGAATTTCCAAAAAACAAAAAACGGCGAACTTGACATACGACCATGGAGGCTCCGCCCATTATGAGCCAAATTTTGCCATATGTGAATCAATTAGTGATCTATTTTTGCTTAGTTCTTTTTTTATTAAGGCTATACTGTTCCGAGGCAAATCTATATTCGATAGTGGTAGAAGTGGATCATGGTAAATCGAGATCTGGTTGTAATTTTTTTTCTTCAAAATTTAAGAATAAATATAGATAGCATTTAGATTTGAGAAGAATCTTACATTTTGTTTGATTTAGTAGAACTAAGTTTAATCTAATTTTGTCCTTGAAACAACATGGCTTTGGGGAAGAAAGCCACACAGGCACACACACACAATGAGGGACAGGTTGATCGGGAATCCGATAGAAGAAAAAAGAAGTATGCGAAATTCGGTGAGTCCAGATCATGTGGAGAAGAAAAGAGAAGTTGGTCGGAAATTTTTTTCGGCAGAAACTGTACATTTCCAGCAAGAAGTATGTGAGTTTGGTTTTTGGAGGACTCAACGCGCTTGAAAAATGTGAGAAACACTTATTTTTCTATGTCAGCATATTGTGTTTAAATGACACGATAAAGACCTCGTTAAAGTGTTCACATAGAACAAACTTGAGATAAAGTGTCAAAGTAAAAAGTGAGGACAACTTTAAGGGGTTTTCGATGTATTCTGCGTATTTTCTATCCTCTCAATTTTTCAGAATTTTTATCCCACTATTAAGGCTACTTTTCCAACAATGTGAGGTTCTTTGAGGATGTTGAGTTTGTAGGGGAGAGAGAGAGTTCAAGACTTTGTCTTTGAAGAGGAATATATTGATATTCCTCTAGTTGTTATTGTCAATGCTCTGGAACAGCTTTCTTCACCTAACATTATTCAAGAAGCAAATTCGGATCAAAGACAATACCATTTAACCCGTCCTTCAAGAAGTAGTTCCCAAAGAACAAACTCTACACCTCAAGAATAAATTTCAATAAAGAAAATCATCTATGGACTTAAGAAAGTGTCTCATTAATAGTATACTAATTTCATCAAGTTATTGTCTCATTTGATTTCAAGATAAATCTTGTTAATTATTGTGTATACCACAAGTTTAGTGGGAGTAAGTATATTTTTTATTGTCTGATGTATGGTCATCTTTATATGTGTCTGAATATTTCATTTAATTTAGGGATGTTGGGATTTGTAAACTTATTTTTTGAAAGCAGCTTAAAGGTTCAAAGGGTAATTACAGAGAACATATATTTTATGCTCACATGAAGGAAGTCGAAAAAGTTAAAGATAATTAGGTATTCGGATATCGACTTCATTAGATATTGATATAATATGACATACTTGGTTGATGAGCTATATAAGGAGAGTGTCAAAACAAACACTCATAACTCTTTTCACCATGGCAATTAATTTATAACATATTATGTAGCATCTAATTATGGAATATGACTGCAGAATTTTATCACTGGCTGCAAATTTATAGATAAAGTTGAAAGCACACTTGAGTTATTTTGTGATAATAAGTTAGCAGTCTTGTATTCCAATAACAACAGGAATTCGGTAAAAGTCAAAGTATATTGACATAAAGTTCCTGGTTGTTAAAGAAAGAGTTCAGAGTGGCTAGGTGTCTATAAAGCATATTGGTAAAAACTCCATGGTTGTGGATCCACTTACTAAGGGACTACCACTCAAGGTTTTCATTAGCATATTGCTCATATGGGTGTCATGTCATTTAAAGATATTCAGTTTCAGGAGTTTGTAACCTCTTAGAAGTTCTTTATGGACACCATTTGGTTTCAGTTTAAGGTTTTAGATAATGATTTCGTTGGACCAGTTGGAAATAAGCATGCTTGGATCACATTGCATGTAATTTTCAGGCTACACATCCATACTTGATCTATGTCATTTAATTATATTGGTATTCATGATCAATGAAGGTTTACTTACGATAAATGTAACAAAAGTCGCCTGGTCCAATATTGGCATGATTGATGGACGAGATTGTTCGAAAGTACTTTGGTTCATGATAGCAAATATTTTTGAGCTCATAAGGTGACATACATTTATAAAGTTATATGTAAATATATATGTGTCGTCCAAGTGGGATATTGTAAGAGTTATGGACTTGCATATATATATA